TTGGAAAAATATGCAAGTGCTAGGTGATTTATTAAAACATAAATTCGTAATTAATTTTTTGAAGTAGTAATATCGACAAACTAATGTTTTAGCTTTTCGATATCGATTATATAAGTGTTTTTCTAGTTTAATTTAATACCCTAAAACTGTAATGATCTTATTGTTATGGTTTCTAAGGGTCCGTTTGATTTGTAATTTAGTTTTCAATTTTCAATTTTGAAATCATTTCAATTTACTATTTTGAGGGTCTGTTTTAAAATTATTAAAAACGTGTTTATTTTTGTTATTTTGAAAAATTGTTTCTTAGAAAATTAGAAATTTTTTGAATTGTGACATGTAAAATTTGTGATTTGTGACCAATTATATAGAACTTGTGATCAAATTATATGAAATTGTGACCAATTTGATAGTGTGAATCTTGATTGGATAATTAGGATAAGTCAGTCCCCTAGCATGAAAAGAAAGGAAATGTGGGCCATTGACACGCTTCCTTGCTCGGAAAGAGCTCAGACTTCAAAGTCAAAGAAGCTTCATGCATATCCTCCCGTAGCCATCCGTCATGGGTCCTCTGTTCCATTTTCAAANTCAGACTTCAAAGTCAAAGAAGCTTCATGCATATCCTCCCGTAGCCATCCGTAATGGGTCCTCTGTTCCATTTTCAAATCACGTTAACGACTAGTCGACTTAATTTGACATATTCAATGCACGTTTGTCACAAAATATTGTATTGAAAATTATATTTTAATATATTTAGAGGTAACAAATATGTGAAATTAATAATCCTTGTTCGATTCCCGTTATTTCTAAAATATATTTCTCTTATTTTTCAATAAAATAATATTACATGAAAATCTAAATTTTTTTCCTTATTTTTTAACCGCGCATTCTCCATCAAAAAATGGGGCTCAAATTGGATCTACGTAACAATGATATTTACTTTTGGGTAAATATGCAAGTATAGGTTATTTATTAAAACATAAATTCGTAATTAATGTTTTGAAGTAGTAATATCGACACACTAATGTTTTAGCTTAATAATTCCGATATCGATTATGTAAGCGTTTTTCTAGTTTAATTTAAGGTAATTAGCACATAACGTCTCCACATTTCATTGTTACTGTGGAAATCGTTAATACATTTTATTTTTTGGCATTTTCATCCTTATTTCCACATTTTATTGCTCAAAATGTCATTTTCATCCATTTTCTCAATTAAAAATTGTGAAATGACGAAAATACTATTTCCTTTAAATAAAACAAAAGGAAAAAAAAACTAATTGTAAACATAGTTCCAACTTTTTTGAAAAGCACAAATGAGTCTCAAATAAATTATTAAAAGAGTAATTAGCCAACATAAAGTCTCTACCTTTCACTATTATTGTGAAAAAATTCTCACCTTTTTTTTTTTTTGGCACTTTCTCCATTAATTATATTTTGATGACGCAAACCATTATTTTTATCTATTTTCATCCAATTGCTCAATAAAAAACAGTGGGATGACTAATATACCCTCATATTTAGATTTAAAAAAGCTACAGAATTAATTACAATCATTGTCTCAATTTTTTTTAAAAGTGCAAACGAATCTCAAATAAATCATTAAAGAATTAGAAATTTAAAAAAAATATTTTTATTTAAATATAAAGGTATATTTATTATTTCATAATTCTTTATTGAGAAATTATATGAAAATGGATAGAAATGATGGTTTACATTATTAAAATATAATTAAGGTGGAAAATGCCAGAAAAATATAAGGTATGGATATTTTTCGCAATATAGTGAAAGGTAATGACATTATGTGCTAATTACGCTTTTAACCCTTGTTTGACATCATTTTTTTTCTCATTTTTCATTTCAACCACACATTTTATCAATAAAATAATATTACAAATAAACCCAAAAATTCTTCTTACTTTTTCACTACACATTCTTCCATCAATTACTATTCCAAATCAAGTTCTTCCATAAAATGGGTGTCAAACAAGGGCTTAATAATTTATTTGGGACTCATTTGCGTTTTTCTAAAAAGTTGGGACTATTGTTTGCAATTAGTTTTTTTCTTTTGTTTTATTTAAAGGAAATAGTATTTTCTTCATTTCATAATTTTTAATTGAGAAAATGGATGAAAATGACCATTTGCGCAATGAAATGTGGAAATAAGGGCGAAAATATCAAATAAAAATGTGTGGACGTTTTCCACAATAATAATGAAATATGAGGACGTTATGTGCTTTTTACTCTTTAATTTAATACCTTGTGGGGAAACTGTAAAGATCTTATTGTGATAGTTTCCTAATGGTCCGTTTGATTTGTGTTTTAGTTTTTAATTTTCAGTTTTGAAATCATTTCAATTTACTATTTTGAGGGTCTATTTTAAAATTATTAAAAACGTGTTTATTTTTATCATTCTGAATTTTTTTTCTTAAAATAGAAAACTAGAAAATATGTTTAATTTGAAATGTTGAAGAAAGTGGTTTCATGACATTTTATTCCATAAAATTGAATAGTCAGTCAAACAAAAGTAATATATACACTTTAAAGTTGGTAAATCACTTTTTTTCTAGAAACGCAAGCAAAACAAAAACAAAATAATAAATTTAGAATATTCATATAATAATCACGAAGAGCTTGTACTATTTTTATTTTACAAATTTTTTATTTTTCAGAATTTTATTTTCAAGAATTTATTATTATTATTTTTAGAATTGTATCTTTTAATATCTTATGTTTCAATTTTTTTTTCTTTATGATTTATCAATTATTTTATTTTTGAATTTTTTTAATACTAAATTTTTAGAATTTTATGTAAATAAAATTTTATTTAATCGTTTATTTCCCATATTTTGAATGTTTTCACTAAAAATATTCAAAACGTAAAAATGTGTTTTCAATTTTATGTTATAAATTTAAAGTTGTTTTCGAAAATTCATTTTCAGAAATGATTAACTAAATGATTTTCTGGCATTTTTCAAAACTGAAACAACTTAAAAACATCAAACCAAACGCACCCTGAATTTTTAAGACATATATTAAAATGATACACAAATTGTCGAGGGTATACAAGTGAATAATTTAAAATATTTTCAGGTTTTTAAAAGAGTAAAAATAAAAATTATTAAGATTAAAATATAAACTAGAATGGCTTCGTTTCTATGAAAAAAAAAACTATCAATTTAATAGTATGTTGAATGGTTTTTGTTTATATATCATTGAAAAAATGATGTTTCACTTCTTCATCGACTTATTGACATTCTAATAGAACAAGAGTGTTTTGTTGCTCAAATTTTAATAATTATATATATACAATTTATCAGTACGAACCTTCTTTTTTATTCACGCTCCATCGCTTTATATAGGTCGGTGGAACTTGATCTTGTCGTTCTAGACTTCTAGTCATGTTCATCTACAATGTTTCAATCTAAGACTGCATGCCACCGTCCTTTTCGAGATTTGATTGGGTGATGAGTTCGACTGGGACGATATTTAGAAGAATCCTTAGTTGATTCGATGTGAATTTTAAATTCACAACAACAATCATATCTTTTTAATGTTAAATTTAATTATTATAAACGAATATGTAGAACATTAAGTTTTAAAAAGTGAGACATAATTTAGCAAACACCATGATGATGTGGTGCATGAATTGCTCAATTTCTTGATTTTGTACTTCTTAATTCATTCAATATAATTAAAATCTAAAAAACACCACTTATACACCTATATGTTGTTCGATAGAGAGAATTAAAAAAGTAGAGGCACATCATAAGATGTTCAGTACGTAGATTAAAGAGGAGAAAATTGAATTAAAAATTTAAGTCGCTTTTTATTTATTTTGAAGAATTTCTATATAATATTCACTTATTTGTCCAACATTTAAATTTATTTATAATTTATAAACAGAATATGCTTTAAATAATAAAGTGAGTCTTGGATAATTAATTAAATAATCATATAATTTATGGTAAAAACTCTTTATAGTGTCGGGCATTAATCAACGACGGGTGTGTTACTTAAACTTAAGGTTAAGCTGACGCGTGTCCTGTATATAAACGTGCAAGCCAAACCAACAGTTAGAATGTAGAAACATGAAACACCCAACTGCAAAATTGAAACACCTCGGGGAGCAGGCACCGTTTGGCCAATCACATGCGTCCATATATGTTGAACACGTGATGTGCAAGCCACGTGTCAGAAAAGATGTCGGAGCGGGCAAGTAACATGTTGGTGAATGCTTAGCTGGAGTACACCATCTGGTGAATGACACGCGGAAACGTCATAGGCGGTGGGTGATTGGGGCGGGCTAATTTTGAAGCGGTAAACGCGGAGGCGAGTTGGAGTCCAACTCGGAGGAATGTTTCGCCCGCCAAACTTTGAAATTTATGGATTTGGACCTATATTAGACCGAAGACTTATCCCTAACCAACGGAATTGTTCTTTGAATAAACTGACCACAGTAAATTAATTAAAATAAAATTAATTAAATATCTAAATTCATCCATATCCCCTACTCCTACTCCTAGCTCTATCCCAATCCTGTTTCTCAGTGGACTCCAAGTACCAAAACACAGTTGGCTTCAATCGTTTTTTTCCCCAAAAAACACGGCACATGTTCGGTCTCCCATGCAATGGCAAAACCGTAATTCCAGTCCTAAAATTACTATCATAATCCCATTTTCATTAATACGAAATTTCGGTCGAGGACACTTTAGTCAATTCAAATTACGACCCACCTACTGTTGTAGATAGAAATATCCGTATATGGATAAGGTTCAACCTTATTTATTTCCTTTAAATTAATAATTCTCACCACCGCGCTTTTGAATTTCTTCGTTCTTCGTTCGACGATTCCACACGCCTTTTCTCTATTCCTGTCTCCTAATATCCTGTATAAATACCCCCCCTTTCTTACATATAGAAATATACGAAGAAAACTCTCAAATATCGTTTTGATAAAAAATGCTGGATTTGGATTGGAAAACCAAAATGATTTCGTCGGAAATGCAAAATAGATCGCCGAGGCTTTCAAATAAGCTCCAGATTTCAATCCCGACGCCGCAAGCTCGTGTTGCGGAGTTGTCGGCGGCGTCTGACTCGGCATGCTCGGCTTATGAGACCTATCTACGGCTTCCGGAACTGAAAAAGTTATGGAGTGGTAAAGAGTTTCCGGCCTGGAAAGATGAGTCGGTTTTTAAACCGGCTTTCATGGGTCTAGAAATCACGTTCCGGTTTATCGCCACCGTTTTGTCGGATCCAAGGCCGTATGCGAATAGGCGGGAATGGAAGCGGCGGCTCGAAGCTTTAACTAATAGTGAAATTGAAATTATAGCTTTATTATGTGAAGATGTGGAGACACGTGGTGCGATTCCGATCGTGGATCTGACCTCATCGGATGGTGTGTTGGCTAGGGAAAACAGTTCGGCGGAGGTGTGGAAGATGTCCGATGAGATAACGGTGGTGAGCCGAGTGAGCGAAGCCAGTTTGCTGCCACGATTGGCCACGTGGCACAAGTCAGAGGAAGTTGCGAAGAAGATTCTCTACTCCATCGAACGGGAGATGCAGGGAATTCCTTACACCCTTGGATTAGGCGAGCCGAACCTCGCCGGGAAACCGAGCCTCAACTACGACGTCATATGCAAACCAAACGAGCTCCATACATTGAAGAAATGCCCCTCGGATAATGCGGATTTGGAAAACTTAGAAAACCAAACTATTTACGCGACACACCAGATTCTAGAGTCATGGATCTGCGTATCAAAACAAATACTGGAGAGAATTTTATCAAGAATCGATAGCAAAAGCTTTGAGAATGCTTCAAGCGATTGCTGGATACTGGAGAAAGTGTGGAAACTGTTGAAGGAGATCGAAGATCTCCATTTATTGATGGATCCAGATGATTTTCTCCGTTTGAAAAATCGCCTTTCGATGAAAGCAAGTTCAGAATCTGACTTCTTCTGTTTCAGATCCAGAGAACTGGTAGAAATTACCAAATCTTCAAAGGATCTGAAACACAAGGTGCCTACCATTTTGGATGTGGAGGTTGATCCCAAGGGCGGTCCAAGGATCCAAGAAGCTGCGATGAAACTGTACAGTAGAAAAGGCGAATTCCCGAAAATTCATTTGCTGCAGGCCATGCAAGCGGTGGAGATGGCTGTGAAGAGCTTCTATTTTTCGTATAAACAGTTGTTAGCTATTGTAATGGGAAGTCTGGAGGCAAGGGGGTATAGAGCATTTGTGAACGTTGATTCTGGAGATTTGTTGGGTCAAATATACCTTGAGCCGACCTATTTTCCCAGTCTGGATGCTGCAAAGACTTTTCTGGATGATTCATGGGGTCACCATTGTTGAAGGTTCAATACTTTAGGACGATGATTTTGCATACCAAAGGGAACTAGAAGAATTAATTTAATACTTCAAATTTTGGAGTTCAATATTGTAATTTACTTATTTTTGTTTGTGGATTTTTTTAAAATTTTGCCTCAACATTGATTTGAATTGGGTTATATTCTTATAACGCTTTTGCTATCAAGCTTATAATTTGGGCATGATGAATTCGGAAATTTAGTTAAGGGATTAAAATAGTGATAAACCAGCATGTTATTGGTGTTGGCACGCCGGAGATGTTGTGTGACGTACCATAATAATAGACATTGGTTAGTATAGTAGGTTGTCGAAGATGGGTAGGGAATGGTATTCTACTTCATGGTTAAGTTATCTTTGGTTGTTTTGTATGGACTCTTATATCATCAGGTCACATACTTGAAGCTCAAGTCGGCCTTCTATTGCCTGGTTGTCTTTGTAATGCGATCACAACTTTCATTGTTTGATGGGGTCTAGGTGCCATGTCATACAACAGTTGACCTTGAGGTTTGAGTTACTAAATATATGTTTGGTAAAGATTAAATCCAATTAAAATTGAAAATACAGTTTTTTTGGGTCTAATTCGTCTAATAAAAGTCAACAATAACAGTTAATTTTTCAATTTTAATCTAATTTTCATATCTACTGAACCCGCTCTAAATATATGCCTTGTCAGAATTTCTTAGGTTATATGAAGTCATGGTGGTTGAGGCAACGTTCACATCTTATAATTTTTCTTCCATCTTTTAGATATAGATTGCGATCTCACTTGCACATAAGTAGAAAGATGACATTTTCTACCATTAATTATAATTCAGTTTGTTTTCTCTAATAATAAGTTTTATGTATGCATACTAGTCGGAGTTTTAACTTCAAAAATTAGTTGAAGAATTTGATAATAAATGATTTTATTTGAAGGTTATGTAATTAGTCGAACCAATGAACAAATCATGTAACACTAGCCAATAGTGACAATGAATGTTATTCTCAATCTTGGCATAAAATATCGCTATCTTAATTCGAGACTGTGCATTAACATGTACCATTAGTTATCATGTCATACAGATTTGGGTAGGTTTCCTAGCAATGAAACATGGGTTTTTGTCAATTATGGACTACTTTCTTTCTCCTGTCGTGCTAATGCTTATCCACATTCCGCACAACTTTTAGTCAAAATTATCCAATGGAAATTTAAATTTTTAAACAAAGTTGACAAGTCTGCAAAAATTAGAGATCTTTGTGGGATATAATGTATGAACAGAGTTATGATATTCTACCTAAAATCTCCAATTTATTTCTTCGAAGTACCTCATCAGCCTCGAATTGGAGTCAACTTGTTAGAATTCTGGTGTGACCCGAATTCCACGTTGAAATATTTGAAGAATTCTAATTGAAGTGCATGTCATGGAGAATTCAAATTTAGAATATTATTGGAGTCCTATGTCAAGTTGAAATTCTATTTTGGAAGCCCATTGGGAGTTGAAACTTATTTGGACTCAATTTTATGGTATCATATTTCATCAACAACTCTACTATGTGGATTTGAACATCTCCTACTTATTTCCTATAAATATTAGGTTCTTTTATACAATTTTATAGGTGCGAGAAAATAGATTACTAGGATTATAAGATCTATTGTAATTTTCTCTTTTCTCCATTATTCTTGAATCAATAAAATCTCTTAATTCATATGTCATATCCTTGTCTTCTTTATTTTTTTTGTTTGATCAAATACTTCATTATTTTCATTATTATTTGTCATATAACTTCAACATCACAATCTGGTGGTTTGTTTCACAACAATTGGTATCAGAACTATTCTGATATCTTCTTTGTTTTACAACAATTGGTATCAGAGCCCCAGGTTCAGCAGTTCCGTAAGAGCGCAATGTTTGATTTGTTCGAGGTTTTTTTATTCGTGATGGTTTCCATGAAATATGATATTCCGCTTTTGGATCGGAGCACTAGATTTTCATTACGGCAGGTTAAGATACGTGCAGTACTCGCACAATTGGATTTGGATGATGCGTTGCTGGGAATTGACAAGATGCCCGCAACTTTGACAGTGGAGGAGAAATTACGGAAGGATAAGTGCAGTTTCTCACATTCATCTTCATCTATCAAATATTATTTTTCAGGACGTTTTGAAGGAGAATTCAACAGCAGCTTTATGGTTGAGGTTGGAGCAACTGTGCATGACTAAAAGTCTGACAAACAAGTTAAACCTCAAGCAGCGTTTATACTCTCATCGAATGGCAGAAGGAAGATCATTGGAATATCACTTGACTGTATTTAAGGAGATCGTCGTTGATTTGAAAACTTTGGAAGTAGAGTATGATGAAAAAGATTTGGCCTTGATTCTATTGTGTTCGTTGCCCGTTTCGTTTTCTTCTTTTAGAGACACGATTTTGTATAGTCATGATATTCTCACCATAGAGGAATTGTACGATACTTTATATTCAAAAGAGAAGATAAATCATCTGGTTTCTGGCCAATGGAGAATGCATGGTTGCTCATGGTAGTTCTAGAAGGGGCAGATCGAAATCTAAGTTTAGTAATCAAATTTGTAACTACTGCAAGAAGGAGTGACACTTAAAGAAAAATTCCTACAAATTGTAGAATAAAGAAAGAATAGCTGCAAATAGATATTCAGATACTTCAAGCAAAGCAGACCTCGTGGAGAACGTTGT